CAGAGCATGAGGCACTGGAGTGCCGTGCTGCCACGCAGCCGCATCCTGCCTCGTTTGGTTGTACTTATGGTAAGGAGTAAAAACAGTGAGGGTGCAGGGCACAGGGAGCTGCACAAAGCCCAGACACGGACACACGGGATGCTGTGCAGCGCAGCCCTGCAGCGCTGGGTGATGCAGCGGCCGGTCCTGCAGCTTCCAGGGCAGCCTGGAAGGGACGCACGGGCATCGCAGCCCGGTGGCATGGCCTCACCTGCCGGAAGCTGTGGGTGTCCTTGGCTGGAGCAGCTGCCAACCACATCAGAGACATGAGATTCTTCCTCAAGGATGCTTTGGCGATGTTTGATTTGGGAAAGGTCCCCTGCTGGAGGTGCTGACACGGCTCCCCTGCAGCCGCCCCGTGCAGCTCAGGATGGACGGCTGTGGGCTCAGAGCAGACGCAGAACCCCAGAACTGCAGGGGTTGGAGGGGATCTCTGGAGATCCTGCAGTCCAACCTGGCCCCGTTCTCCCGACCCCACCCTTCAGATATCGATCAGCGCTGATCGCATCCCTCTCAGCCTCCTCCAGGTGCACAGCCCCGGGGCTCTCAGCCTGTTCCCATCCGGAGGTGCTCCAGGCTCCCACCATCTCCGCACCCTCTGCTGGGTTCTCTCCAGCAGTTCCCAGTCTGCCCTGAACTGGGAGCCCAGCGCAGGGTTCTGGCAGTGACCCATCACGGCAGAGCAGAGGGGAGGAGAACCTCCGCGCCCTGCTGGCCGTGCTGTGTGCAAGGCACCTCAGGTCCCATCAGTCTTTTTGGCAATCAGGGCACGCTGCTGGCTCGTGGTCAGTCAGCCATTGGCCGCCAGGAGCCCCAGGTCCCTTCTAGCGCAGCTTCTTTCCGTCAGCTCGGCTCCAGCCTGCCCTGATGCCCTGCGCACTGCAGAAGGCGGCGCACGGTGGAGCTCTTGCGCCGGGATTCCCTGTAGCCGATGTGCCTGGAGCCGCTCGTACGGCGCAGCTCAGGGCCCGCGAGGACGCGTGAAGCTGCAGTGAGGGGTTTGGGGAACGTCCCCTCGGCTGCGGGTGCCCACATCGCTGCTGCTGCGCCTCGCACAGGGATCCAGGCAGGCGACGGAGTCCCCATCCCTGAGCGTGGAGACGCGGCGCTTGGGGACGCGATCACGGTGGGATGGGTTGGGGGTGGGGGATCTTGGACGTCTTCTCCGACCTTAACGATTGTGTGACCCTGCAGTGGGGTTGGGACCCCCTCCGGCCGAAGCCATTCTGTCCCCGTGGGTCCCTGCTGACAGCTCAGGATGTTTTGCAATTCTAAAGCTCTTTGGAACGCACGCTGAACCGGCCGAGCCCAGTACTTGAGGGATGGGCGCGAGCAGCAGCTATGGGCAAACAGAAGAGACAAAAATCCTTTTTATTCTGAGCGATTGCACAACTGGGAGCTCTGTGGGAACTGAACTCTGAGCATCTTTCAGCCAGCCGTGCTTCAGATCCGCGGCCGTGCAAAGAGCCCGGGGCTTCCTGCAGCCTTTCCAGCGAACTCTCTTATCTCCCGGCTTCCCATCGAGCCCTGGCATGAGAGTTTGCTCCGCAGCTCCAGCACAGCAGAGGGCACGCGTGCTCGTGGTGCATGATTACCCCTCGCGCTGCTGCTCTCCTCCCAGAGCAGTTGTCGCTGTGCCAGGAGCTGCTGGTGGCGCCCTGGGAAATCTGCACGGTGCTCCAGAACGTGGACCGGACTCACGTCTGCTCCTCTTTCAGCTTTGCAAGCGGCTGAACGAGCTGCCTGCTTTGCAGGCCCCCTGTTCTGCTCTTGTGTGATCCCGCCTGGAGCACTGCGTCCAGTTCTGGGGGTCCCAACACAAGTGGAACTGTTGGAGGGGGTGCAGAGGAGGGTCACAAAGATGATCGGAGGGCTGGAGAACTTCCCCTACTGGGATGGGCTGAGAGAGCTGGGGCTCTGCAGCCTGGGAAAAGCTTTGGAAAGAGCTTACAGCCCTTCCAGGACCTGAAGGAAAACTGGGGAGGGACTTTTATAAGGGCACGTAGTGACAGGACAGAATCACAGAATCACAAGGTTGGAAACGAGCTGCAAGCTCATCCAGTCCAACCCCCTCCCATTGCTATCAGTACCACCAGCACTAAACCACATCTCACAGCTCCTCATCCAGGCGCCTCTTGAACGCTGCCAGGGATGGTGACTCCACCACCTCCCTGTGCAGCCATTGCAGGGCCTGAGCACTGAGAGAAGAAGTTTCTCCTCATGTCCATCCTAAACCTCCTCTGCTACAACTTCTGGCCGTTTCCTCGGCTCCTGCTATTTGCCTGGGAGAAGAGGCCAGACCCACATAGAAACATCATGTAGTGTACGGGGCATTAAAGTGTTAAAGTGCCCCACAACAGAGGGATCTTCTGACAGGCCAGGAACAACAGACAGCTGCTCAATGTCGTCTGTGTCCACAGCAGCTATTCCAAAGGCCCATCGATACCCCTTGGGATCCTTGAAATGCCCCCTTCTGCGATAATCAATACCTAGAACACATGGAGCCCCTGGGCCCGTCACAATAGGGTGTTTCTGCCAGTCCTTACCAGTGAGGCTTATCTCAGCCTCCAACACAGTCAATTCTTGAGAGCCCCCGGTCACTCCAGAAATATGGATTGATTCTGTCCCTTGGTGACTCGAGGGCATCAGAGTGCAGTCAGTAATTCTATGTCTATGCATACAGCTGTGTGTGCGTGTGATGCATTTTGATCATTTTTTGTTTGTTTGTATATACGTATCTCTATTTTAAGCATGACGTAACGATGTAGAATAAGGGGTGGAATGTCATGGTTCCGTGTTTTTATGGTTTCAGTATTCCACATCCAAACACCATGCAGTGTACGGGGCATTAAAGTGTCCCTGCCCCAACCCCAGGTTCCCATCCCTGTACATGACAGCAGTCCCTGGATCTGGCCCTTCCAGGTGGGCCGCTCTCTGGCTGCCTTGCAGTGGTGCTGCAGGCGCTTTCCTGGCCGTTCCAAGCTGTTCAGGTTTGACTCGGCCCTGGGAACTCTCTCTCTCTCATCCTGTCTGATTTATTCATCTCAATTTCAATTAAATTGTATCTATTGTGTTATCTTGTATTCCGATATTACAGTAAAATAAGTTTTCCTCCATAGATTCTTGCCGCTGCTCTTTTCCTCCCTTCCTTCCTTCCCATTTTTGTGGGACTGGGGTGGGAGGGGAGGGCAGAGGCCTGCAGCCCCTGTCACGGACACACATTGATCTGGTCGGCTCTGTGACAACACCTCAACGTTTTGGGACGCGCCGTACCGCAAACACGCAGCTCTGCCGTCAGGAACCCCCAGCGCCAGAAGCCCGGTGCGATGGCCAAAAAGGCAGCGTGTGGTCACACATCTCCCATCCTGCTCCAAACGGGGCTTTTTAGGGCTCTTTGCCCCCAAAGCGTCACGTGGCAGGAAAGCGTGTGGCTGTCGCGTGTAATTATTCACATTAATTAGTTGTGTGCTCTCAGCTCAGGGTGGTGAGCAGGATCGCAGCGGTCCAAGTGGAGATGGTCGGGTCCCAACCCGTCCCCACCATGCCCGCTCATGCGATCATGTGTTCAGAGTCATTAAGGTTGAATAAGAGCTCCAAGATCACCAAGTCCCACCCCAAGCCGTCCCCAGCGCGCCGCTGTTCCTTCGTGCCACATCTGCTCACCCCTGGGACGCCCCCAGGGATGGGAGTCCCGCACGTCCCTGCTGCTCCGCTGAGGTTTGTGGCTGATCTCCGCATCTCACCTCCTGCCAGCTCTAAAGACAGCAGTGAAAACTCGCTTTTCCAGACCGTGTTAATTACGAACATCCACAAGCAATGCATCTGAGGCTTGTAAGTTTCCTTTTATTAAACAGGAGCGGAGTTATTCAGCTCAGTTATTCAGCCCAGCGCCGTGCGGCACGGCGGTCCCAGGGCCGTCTGCGATGTGGGAGCGTGCACAAGGGCTGCACCCGGAGGAGGACAGCTGAGGGAAACACAGGGGATTGCAGAGCTGAGAAATGAGGGAAGGAAGCAGCGGGGGCACGGCTCCCTCCTGCAGCTCCCTGCTGCTCGCTGCTCCCAGCACGGCCCCGGCCAGCAGTCCGGCACGGCACCCGCTGCTATCTCCAATCACCCGTGAGGATCTCATGGAAAAACTCTATGGAGGCTCTCTACAGAACAAGAGAACTGGAGGGAGGGGAAGCACACACGGTGAGGAGGATGCTATGAGAGTAAGTACCGAGTGATTGCAGCGCACGAAGCAGTGAGAGACCAACCAGCACTCGGCTGAGAGCAAGCGGCCCAGGGACCCCTTAGGAAGCAGGCTGGGGCAGTGAGAGCAAGCTCAGCAACCCCTCCAGGAGCAGCCAACGTAAGCAGGGTGCTGTGCCTGCATGTAAGCTTCGGATGTGCGAGCCTAAAACCGTGTCAGTGCCGTGGAGATCGGTGCAAACATGTTCAGTGCGTAAAGAACAGGCATGAGAAGGGAAACAGAAATTCCATTCTCACGTCAGCGAATACTGCAGCAGATTTTGTCCATATAAGAAGAAAGCATACAATATATTGCACATAAATGAGCGGAGATAAGCTGGGCTGATTCATGAATTCCAGGAAGGTAATAAAAGAAACAGGATTAGACGCTATAACGTAATGCATCACTGAGTCACTTCAAAACCATATTTCATGCGTGAGTACTGTGACAAAATGAAAGCGAAGAAGGAAATACTGAAAGAGCTCGAAGGAGAATAAGAAAAACAAGGCAAGTAGGTGAGAAAAGAAAGGGAGGCAAAAGTGCAAGAGGCAAAACAAGTTGGAACAGACTGAAAATTGTTCACCATGGAAATAACAGAGAAAAAAAAAAAGACAATAATTATAATTACTTAGCAAAAATCTTAAGGAAATACAGGCCCGTGTCCGGGTCGGGCACGCAGCGGCGCAGGAGCTGCATGTAGGT